CCCCAAAACCCCAAAACCCCTCTAAGCAAAATAACCAGATTGAAAGCAATAAATTGATTAAATATAATTCTATCAATGTATCATTCATCTTCATCGTTGATCTTGTAAATGATTTATCTCTTTCCAGCGGCATTTCCTGCATTTGCGCCTGCATTATTACCATTGTTTGATGCTGCATTTCCACCAAAGTTGGATTCACCATACTCTCTTGATCTATCCTCAGTATTTCTATTTCCTGGACCTCCTCTTAGCAAGTTGACTCTTTCATAGTACTGGTACTTCATGCGTCTGTATCTGCAAAATACGAAAGAGCAGCAAACAAAAATCAGTGAAAGGCCAACGAACAACACTACAATAATCATCATTACAGTTTTATTTCTCATAAAGTCCTCAATCGGCGAACAGGAATCTACGTAAGATCGTCTGTATGCAAACTGCGATCTATCAATTTTTACATCATTAAAAGTTTGATTTGAATTGAGGATGTCGTCCACAAATTAATGAGAATAGATAGAACATGTTTTAGCTGGATTCTAGCTAATCTCTCTCTGATACCAAATGCAGGCTCCATCAACCTCAGTCACTTCGTAAGTCTAGCAATGTCTGCAGGCTAACTTAGTACGCCATTCAAAAACAAGATGGCATGGATCAGACTCCTCAACATTATTGTCTTCCGTTTTAGTCAGAAGTAGTGGCCAACCTTCTTGCTCATAGTGATCGCAAACGTATCTAATTTCGCTTGAAAAATCATACAAGTTTTTCTTAAAGAAGCACTTGTCGCCTCCTCTGTACTGAATCGTATAGCCGCTATCATGAATATTGATGCCAGCTATACTTGTACCAACAGACTTGATTATCTTTTAATTCTTTGCTTGTAGATTATTTTTGCACCTTCCGAACATCTCTGCATCATTATTGCTAGTAGCTTGTGTGGCAGGTGGGACATATTGCTAAACTAATTTTTCATCAAAGAGTCCAAGTATGAAGGAGTTTGGTTTGAATAGCACGTCCTAAGTCTGTTCAAATTCCAGTTCGTAGATCTTGGAAAAATTAGCTGGTGCTTTTGGAGATATGTAGAAATTCTAAGTGTACCAGGAGTTATTCTATTCAACCACAGTTATCAATGGACCAAAGAAGTTATTCTGACAAAATCCACCCTAGGATTTGCATAGCTTATAGTTTAAACTGTTATGAGCAGTGGATGAATTTTCATTTAGGTAGGTATCAAAGAATGAAAAGTGGTAGAGATAGGAATGTCCATTTGATGACTTTAACGCTATGTGATTTTCAACAATGCAATTCTTATGGTCAGCTGAAGGGTAAGTATTTATAGGGCATTTCAGACAGGGACTTCCAGCAGAAGGAGTGTAAAATCCATCAGGGCATACCTGGCATCCAGTTTTATCGTCATTTGATTAAAATCCCATTTAGCAAGGCAAGCATTCATGTTTTCCCACTTCATTTTAATAGTATCCCTGTAAAATAACATTAAATATTAAGTCATTAACTTACGATCGGGCAATCAATGCATGCTAAATTGGTTTTTTTAGTTGAATGAGAGCCAACAATCTCAATTGAATTAATCACCACATATGATTCTTTGGATTGCTTGATATAATAAACTTTGAATTGATGCTTGCCTTCAGTTAAAGCGATTGCAAAACCAAACTGTCCAGTTTTCATCTAGACCACTACATTATAACACAATTAATAGAATGCTTTAGTTTACTCTAGAGTTTGTTGTCAAGATACAAGGAAACTGAGTCCTTTTCATACTCGAAGTTAACTGTTCCAAAGTTAATACGATATGTAGCTTCATTCATTTGATTGTCTTCCGAAATAGTCAGATTCGAAACAAGATAAAGAGTGGAGCCTGGGATTTCCCTTCTTCCAGCTACTAAACCTTAACTATAGACTGCCATAAAACCATCTGATTCTGAGCAATAGTTGTCAGCTGCCTTATCTATGGTTAGTAATTAATAATAAGTGAAAGACATACTAATGCCACTCAAGCAGAATGTGCTGAATCCATGTTCAGAAGGGAATTATTCAAATCTTGTTATTGATATTCCACTTTGAATGTACTTTCCAGCATTGCATTACTTGCATTAATATTTAGACTCTTTGTTGCTGAAAGAATTTTCAGGGCATTCTCTACACATATATTCATCATCCTGCATGTGATCCAAAAACTAGCCATTTATGCAGTTTAAACATGGCACTTCAAATTTTTTAATAAAGTCAACATCTTGCTTTACTGAGCAAGTTTCCATTGGGGCGCTGTCCTCATTATATCTATAGTACTTAATGAAGGAGCCTATGGCTTGTTAATAGCACTACTAGGTATAAGTTTTTGGTATTTCATCTTCAGAACAATCACGCTTGACCTTACATACATCTTAAGCCTATTTCGCAATACTTCCTTCCTGTGAATGAGTACCATCTGGACACTGCATACACTCAGACTATTGGCTTATTAACTCTAATAGTGTTTACTTACATTTAATGGGTTAAGATAATAGTCACTGGGACAAAGAGAGCATCTATCACTTCCTTCTAAACTATACCCGAATGAGCATTATCTGCATTCCAAGTCTGAATATTCAGTTCCAGTTATTCTCAATGACTTAAAAATTTTTTAAAAGGATCAAATTTCTTACTTTCAACTCTAGTCTCATATCCTTATTTTGGTCACTATTATATTTTTAGTACATGAAAGTCAGCTCTTTCATTCCTGGATATACTTCATAGGAGAAGGACTTCCATTCACTGGGGTCATCATTTAGACTTTAGTCTTCAAGGACTGCAATGTCATCAATAAAAAACTAGAAAAGACCAGAAATCCAGCCGTCACTCTCCTTAGTAGAATCCTTTGTGTATTGGAACTCAATTTTACCTTTCTTGACAAAATATACCTTCAAAATAGTTTCAAATGCAACAGAAGTTTCCATTACAGATGCTTCTCCACAAGTAAAAGAAGCGCCACCTGGAGTAGTGGAGCAGGGCTCGCAATCTTTTTAAAACCAAGAGAACCAATAGTACTGATAACAATTTCTGCTTAATGATGTTTTTCTTGACATTTCAGAATCGGGATTAAGTGCAGTTTCCCACTCTCCAAAGTAGCCATCAATAGAGTAGCCACCTCCATTTGAATAAGTGTTCTTTGGGCATTTCTTGCAGCTGTAGTCTCTAGTTTAAGTATCCACAAACAGATATTCTCCGCTATTACACTCATATTAGCAAGGTATATCTTCTATGGGCTTCAGCTTCTCAAAACTCTCATTTACACATTTCTATGGTTCCTCAAAGAATAGATAAGCTATAAAAATGAAATTAATCAGTTGTTCAAATAAATAAAGGGGCAAGTTCAGGATTATGCTTTCAGTTTATTAGAATACGTAAAAGATAAAACTAATCTCCTAAGATAATCTTACCAGCTCTAGTATTGCCTTTAGTTTCGTAACAGTCACTTAAAGAGTAGTCAGGGTTCAAGCAATCTTATGCTAAGGCACTGAGCCCAAATAAAAATAGTATAAGAGTTCTGCTAAGTTTCTTCGATTGATTAAGATGACCTGTCAGCTTATTTATATGTGTTGCCATTTTAAATTTTGCAAATTAAATTTAATTTTTTAAATCATCGATGAAATCAGGTGACTTTTTTTCTGGGGTTTTGGGGTTTTGGGGTTTTGGGGTTTTGGGGTTTTGGGGTTTTGG